GTGTGGTGGGGGAATGGGATTTGTGCATGCCCTTTCTGCGTTGTCCCCTGCATGTGGTCCGTAGATACTTTTTGGTTGCTGTATACGCTGACTAGATTGTTGCACATGCTTACCGGGATGAAGTGCTCCCTTTATGTTTGTGCATGGCCCTGTGAGTAAGCATGCGTGCAATCATTCTTTGCTCTCGTCGATCAGTAAACGCATCATTTGCATTGTTTTAACTAATTGTTGCCGTCCAATAGGGACGCTGTGCTGCGGTAACAACCGCAGCTCAGCGGCCCGGCTGGCCGCAGTGCTATTTGCTGCTTCGGTCTTTGCCGAGCATTTTCTAAATGTCAACAACCAACCGTTTTATGCTTTTATGGGTTAAATGTATACTTTATAGTTTGAATATCTGCGAGCTAACCCTAGAAACCGTTGAATCCCTGCGAAAATAAAGTCAAGTGTAGGGATAGAAACACAGATGCGCATTAAGTAAGTGCTTGTTGCTGACCATTATACCCAGCAAATGGAATCCGTAGCTCGAGCCAGGAGACGCATGCCCATTCTGTATAGGTGATAATTCACCTGCAGTCGAACCTTAAACGAAATAAAGGGCGTCTTCGACAGGAAAAGCCGAAGCGTGCACTGCTCCACTTAATTGTGCATACTGGTGGCCCTGAGTGTACGAGCCCTTTGTTTGATATAATAAGACAAGCAGACCCGTAGTGACTTGGCTTTCTTTTTCAGTTTCGCTTCTTCCTTAGCCTACAACAGACGTCGACAACCGGATGCCTGTTTCCACCGCTGTCAGCGGTGACTAAACTGGCAGCACGATCTACTTCTCTAGTAGGGCTTGCCTGTCCAATTCCCGGTCAAACTAAAATAAAAAGTACAGCTTAACATCTTTTAATGAATGCTGCTGGGTCCAGTCTGACTGTGTAAAGTACGCGCGCCGACTGGAAACCGCCGCGTCCTTTGTGGCCGTCAACAACGGTTGCGAAGGGAGGAAAACCGCTCTTCTTCCCCTCCGCATTTTCGTAGTTTCCACTGAACCCCCTTTGCATAATGCGTGCTTTCCGTCTTCGTTCAAAGACTAAAGAAAGCTGCAATGAAGCCAAAGACTAGAGAAAAGAGTTTTCCCGAAGCAGTTTGCCTCCTCTTCTGCCTTTACGTACCCTGGACGCACTAGCCCAAGGCCTGGGGTTGCGGGGGAAGAGGCAGTCTGATAGGTGTTGCAGGGCACCTCACCGCAGTTACTGATCCAGGCTAGCCTCACCCGTAAGCACAACAAGCTTCCGTTGCAGCACACTTTATCTCTTCAGACACTTAATAAGCTTTATCGGTTTTTGCTTGCATGGGGCCTATCGAGGCCAAGTGAATGTTTAGTTGCGAACTTGGGAAGGGCCATGCTACCGTCATCACCCCACTCCTGCTGGTTAATTCTTCAGAAAGCAGAACATTGAAGTGTTTCGCTTAAAGTGTCAACGGAACTGGTTTCATAATTGAATTCAAATAGAACTTATGGTCCTTCTGAGTGTCAAAATACACCCAGAGCCTGCAGAAGGATGCCGTGCAACTCAGCTCCCCTTCGGGCCAGTGGAAACCGGTCTCCCGCCGCTGCTGCTGTAACTGTGCTGGGTTAGAAAAGCGTCTACGGAACCTCAGGTATCACCGGGAATGGCTGCGGGCCAGACTCATCCCTCCAGCACTGGGAGGTGTTTGCACGGCTTCACGGCCAGGCCTAAAGCCTTTCACGGTCCCGCTACTTCACGGGTATAGGTACCGTTCATCCTACCAGACTCGTGTGAAACGATTAAACTTCCCTTGCTTCTAGGATGCCTAAACTAACGGTTTGCTACTTTCTGAGTTTCCGGCCGAGTCGACACTGACACTGGTGACGTCTGTATAACTATTCTCTCATGCTTTGTGCTGTACCCACTAAAACTAGTGAAACAAACTGGTTGATGCTTATTTCAGTTGGAGATTTATATATAATACTGTATACGAACATAATTAGTTCTCCTATATTAGTTATCTATCCAGCAAACCTGGACGTGCTGTCCTGCTGAACCCCAGGCCATTATCGTTGCGGTCTGCCCGTCAGCCATTCTAACGCCATGTGTAAAATTAAAGAATATTATGTTAATAGGAATAAACAATGTAATAGAGGTTTAGAGCTCCATTCGATCAACAGTCTCTCTTTAAGGCTTTCTAACTGCATGCAGGGGTCAATCAATCCCGCAGACCTACTGCCAGCTGGCGTTGACTCTGTAAGATGTACGAGGCAATTGTCCGTGAAAAATCAGAGGGAACTTGTATATTACTACTATAGTGGATGTGTTACCTAAACTTTAGTGTCTGCTAGGCTACGCAGACAACGCAACTACTGTTGCTTAGCCGAAGAGCGGCGAACGAGCAACAGCGCAGCGTCCATTGCTACCTTCTTTTATCCGAACTTAAACTTGGCTGGGCACGATAACGCATACCTGTAGTTAACTGATCTCCTCTTTCGCGTGTATTCACTTTCTGCTTCCCGCTGTTCATTTGGAGCAGTGCTAGCAGGGCTTGGAGTCCGTTGGCTTCTTGGCATTGACTCGTCATCTTCGCGCAACGTTGACACCCAGGAAACATCACAACTAGCGCTTGGCTCTTTCCCTTCTCTGCTGGCCTTCGCGCCCCCTGCGTTCTACGGCACGCTCGCTTACTGCGGGCGTTACGTTCTCTCTCCACAGGTGAAGTTTCTCTCCCCCAACGTGTGCGTCTCTTCCAGACTTTTCCGCCTGTTTAATCAAAGCGTCTTATTTCAGCTATCAAAAGGAAGGGGAGAAGATGACGATGCTCTATGCGGCCGCCTGCGCCGCCTTCTGCTTTGGACCGGTTGCGGCAATATACAAGGCGACGAATCTGTGGGTTCACTCTTCAGCATGCAGATATCCCAGGCAAACGACCCAGCATTCTGCCGTATGAAATTTCCAACACCTTCGTCTCGGGGTCATTTGCCTTCATGTATTCCCCCTACGGCCTTACCCCTTGCCTTTGCCGCATCCCTTTCCTGTGCAGCGCTGACCAGACTGGCACGAAAAGACTACTGGCACTGGCAGCTGCCTTTTACTTCATGAGTCTTATTGGAAAGGTGAATAAAGCCCGTTATCCGCTCACTCTGGCCGGCGTTGCCTCGACGCAGATGTGGTATGCGGCGTTTCATACGCCTAGAAAGCGCAACCAAGAAAGCCAGTAACGTCGTTTGTGCTCCTTTTGTGTGTAACTCCTTTCATGGTTCAGAGCCTTATTGTCGCAACAGTGCTTCCGGCCACGTGCGAGAGCTCCATTTTCTGCAGCGTAAGGCTTTCCAACTTGCCGTTGCTTACCGCTGTGCCTCTCGGTAGCGTCTCTCTGCCTCTTCCCTGATATGCATTTCCTTTTCCCTCTATCCCTTTAGCGCCTGCCTCTGCCCTTGTGAGCCTCCTAGATGTTTCCATCAGTGCATCATCCCGGTTCTTCTCTTTGTTTGCTTCTTTTCCGCTTTCCCGGCCTCTCCACTGCGTCGGACATGAATCCCTCGATCCTATCTGTTTGTGACAGTGCAGGTTTGTTTGAGCTCTTCGTTCTTGTCTTAGTTGCTTCACGACGATGTGTTACTGATTGTTTTTTCAGGTACTAGTTGACTTAGTCACGGTTGCTATGGAACTCGGAAACATCCATCT